AATAATATATATCGATGATTAGGTAGGTATTTAGGTAGTATATGTGAGTAGGTACGCCCGTATGTATGTCGGTAGTGTATAGGTATGTAGGTAGTTATGTTTATAGGTGAGAAGGTACGCTCCTATGTATGTAGGTACGTATATAGGTATGTAGATATTATGTATGTTGGTATGTATATATTAATGTATGTAGATATCCATATAGGTATGTAGATATTATGTATTTACGTATGTATGTAGGTATGTATATAGGTATGTAGATATGCATGTAGTTAGGTATATAACTTTGTAGGTACGCCTGTAAATTATTGTATTAAAATGTATATTCCCCGTGTCCCTCAGGCTGAGCAGGCTATGTGGGCCCCTGGAATCCTCATTGCTTCTTGCGCTGCTGTTGTCGTCATTTCCCTGAAAGCACTTCCGGAGACCAGCGGGCGGGAGCTTCCACAAACACTGGACGACCTCAAGGCCTGGTTTCACAAACCGACACAGAAAGATGGAAAAGCCAGCGCTCCGATCTGAGAACAAACCAGCTGCTTTGTCCCATCACAGTGAAATATAAAGCAATTTACTTATATATTACCCTAATTATTCATTTATTTTCTAAAAAAATTAATTCAATCATAAAACAAACTATAAAAGATGATCTAAATATACATACGCTTTTCTTGATTTGAATTACATACTAACTTGCTTTTTAAAAAGTGATTTTATCGCAGCTCATAGGATGTAAACCTTTTAAAATTTGTAAAAATCACCCATTGGCATTTTTTATTAGTGTTTATTAAGGAATTTTCTAGAATACCACTAACAGTTGTTTACAAGAATGTTGATCTGTTAAAACACATCGATGCAAGTCATTGTGCAAAATCTGGAATGTCTATTTACGATAGTTGAGAAAATATTTGACGATAAGTAGTACTACGAATTTCTGACATCGCTATAAAGTTTTAAGTGTCTTTGAGAACGTCTGAATGACTCAATGAAAACGCTTTGTGATATTCACTTTATAGCGTTTGCTCTCTGGGATAATACTGTCAACAAATCCAATAAAGGCTTTCAGTTTCTGTTCCAGACTGCCGCTTTAAGTCTTCTGACGTCAGTGGAACAGGTTGAAAAGCTTAATGATTTATTATGTCTGCGACCTCGTTCTAAGAGTCTCCACATCCTAAAACAGTTTTCGTATCGATCAGTCTCTATAGCCAGTAACCCGATACCCGCTCAACGTCGTTTAATTGTTTTCTAGAAAATTCCTTTCTCAGACTATGTTTTGATTTTCTTCATTTATTTATTTTTTGTGTGTGTATATATGTGTGTGTGTGTGTGTGTGTGTGTGTGTGTGTGTGTGTGCGTGTGTGTTTGAGAGAGAAAAAGATAGAGAGAGAGAGAGTGTGTGTGTGTGTGTGTGTGTGTGTGTGTGTGTGTGTGTGTGTGTGTGTATGTGTGTGTGTGCGTGTGTTTGTGTTGTTCCTTGGAATCGGTCAACTGTTATCTTGGGGTGGAGATGAATGTGGAAGTATATTTGTAGGCAGAAAATGGGAGAATGAGGTGAGTAATTGTAATGAGAAGGAGCGTAGTTTATTTGAACGTGTCAGTGCCAAAGATAGATGAGTGTAAACGTCACGATTAAAAGACTTAGAAAGTTAGATATTATAGATCTAGATAAATACATGGATATATATTTTAGGCACAATTTATAAGTATAGGCTTACACTGTGATTAATAAAATGTACACCCTGTCTTATTAAGGAATATATTGGGTTTAATTAAATGTGAACCCAGTATCTAAAAAAAAAGTGAACATTGTCTTATATGTTGTATACTATGTACCTAATAAATGAATGCATACTCTGTGCTTAGTAAACAATTGTATACACTGTGTCTAATAAATACATGTATACACTGTGTCTAATAAACAATTGTATACACTGTGTCTAATAAACAATTGTATATACTGTGTCTAATAAATAATTGTATACACTGTGTCTAATAAATGAATGTATACACTGTGTCTAATAAATAAATGTATACACTGTGTCTGATAAATACATGTATACACTGTGTCTAATAAATAAATGTATACACTGTGTCTAATGAACAATTGTATACACTGTGTCTGATAAATAAATGTATACGCTGTGTCTGAGAAACGAATATATACACTGTGTCTAATACAATGTATGCACTCTGCCTTATAAGATACGTTGTGAACAAACAAATATGGGTGATTCTCCAACACTCTGGTAGGGATTGTTCCTTCTCTCCTTTAGATCAGATATTGTCTTTGTCTCTTATTGTTCTTTTCTTTTGTATTTTTCTCTCTATTAATATCACAACTCCTCGTATATTATCGTGGGCACTTTTATGACCTACACCTTTTGCAAATATCGTATTCTTATTAAATGTTGGTGTTTTACGTCTCTACCAAATACGCTTTGTTTGATAGAATATACAGTTTTGTTTAGTTTAGTATGGGGTTTACGGCGCTCGCAACTGCATAAGGTCATATGAGCGTGCGAATATACAGTACGTCAAGTAAATTAATAATGTTACTGGGTCTAGTTAATTGTATACACTGGGTTCAATGAAAAAAGATTCCCGAGTGCGGAGAAAGATTTTCGGAGTATCTTTCCGCTGGTGTTTGGGATGTTGTATCTCTTTCATCCCAGGTTAGCCCTGACAGGCAAGGTCGGAACCCCGCCTCCTGAATCAGTTGAATTGTGTTAACTGCGCGTAAAAAGATTAATTATTTATTAAAGGTTGTGGTCGAGCATGAGTTGTGTAGGGGAGTTTGCAATTCACCTATGTAATACGGGGTACCCACTACGGATGGGATCGCCCGATGAGGTAGATCGACCGACTCGGTCGCCTCAAAAACAATTGTGTTTGTTTTCAGTTTCAGGCGATCGAGTTGGCCCGATCCAGCCTTAATGGGCACCCCGTATAAGAGCAAAATGTGAATGTTTCCCGCCGGAGTCTGAGGTGTAGCGGTTAGACGTTTTTCCGTCGCACGCCGATAGCGTGAGTTTGATTTGCAAATGGAGAGATTCCTGTTACTTCCTAAACGTGTCTAAATTGTGCAGACGGGAGCGTACATCGCCCTTCTGAAAAGGTCCCGCCTGTAAAATAACCGGGGCATGAAATGGTATTCCATCATTACAATTATAATTGTGAACAGCACGGCAAAAATTTATGTTGGGATCATCACCATTACTCTCAACAACTCGTAAGTTGTGAACAAACAAATGAGGGTGGTTCTCGAGCACTCTGGCAGTGTTTGCTCCTTCTTTCCTATGGAACAGATATTGTTCTTGTCTTTTCTTTTTTTTTTTTGGTGTATTTTTCTCTCTATTAATGTAACAAGTCCTCAGATATTATGGTTGACACTCTTATGACTTACTACATTTGCAAGTATTATATTGTTTTTATAAACCTTTACCTTCCATAAAGTCTCTTACGGGGGCTCTCGTGGTCTAGAGGTTAAGGTGTTGGCCTCTCATTCAAAGGTCCCGGGTTCGAATCTGGGTAGTGACCGAAAAATTTTCTTCTCTTAATTTGTCTCCTTTCACCTCCTTTCCTGCTCTCTAGCAATGTTCTTTCGTCTGCTTTCGTCTCCTCTTTCTGCCCTCACTCCCTCATCTCCTTTGCCCCCCTCCTCTGGGCTCCTGAACCTTTCTACTGCTACTCCTTGGCTTCTTCTTACTGCTGTCTTCCAGCCACACCCTTCATCTTCTTGTAGGACATATCTACACCTAGCCTTCTCGGACAAGGGCGAAAAATCTCGGAGGACCCGTGTGCAAGTCACGCACGTCAAAGATCCCTTGGTGGTCTAAAATCGATAAGAATAGGCTTCGGCCGCCACCCGGGCACAATTCAAAATTTCCTACCGACTGAAAAAGTTTAATGTGTCCCGCGCGCTCATATGACCTTATGCAGTTGCGAGCGCCGTAAAACACTTTACAAAAACAAAACAAAAGTCTCTTACCGACCAAATCAAGTAGATTACTTAGGAGTCTGGCTGCCGACAATGCCTGCCAGGAACAAATCAGGGCTGAAAGGGATGCAACATCCCAGCAGAAAGACCGAGAGACTCGGTGAAAATTCCTCCCCAATCGAGGGTCGAACTCGGGTCTCCCGCATACTGCAGTAAAGTGCCAAACCGCTGTACCACAGACACGGATCAATTAGTGCCATAGACATCTCACTAAAACCAAAAGATAGTAAAACTGATGATTTGAATCAAAATCAATGAGAAACGCATCATTGAGAGATAACAGGGTTTGTTTATTGAACGCAAAAACAAAGAAACAAAAACAAATATAATAAGTTTGATTGGATGAATGTCAAGGTCATGAGTAATCATTACAATAAGGTAGAGTAATGTGCTTCAAAAATTGAGCGAAACTGTCAGCTGTTCTGCTGACAACGCAAGGATGCTCGCCGAAGTGTCTGAACCTCCTAATCTAAATGTTAGCGTAACCTCTGCGACTGGCATAGCCTGGAATATTCTTCGTAAAACAGCACGCAGAAACATCTTCATACCACTTCAGAACGAATATCTTAGTCTATTTATTATCTTGGAACCCTCTGCTGAACACTCCTTAATTGCCTTTATAATATCCTAGTGAACTGTTTGACATACGACGATTTTCGTAATGAAGTTTTATCTATAGGCATGTTTTGAGCATTTCAGACAAATCCTGACTCTCAGAGACCCCAAAAACGAAAGTGAGTGGAGTATAATATGGAGAATAATTCGCAATCATAATATTATGCTCGTGTAGGTGGATATTAGATGGTAATAATTTCTAAAAATGTTCCTTTCCAGGTCTAAATATCCACGATGTGTACAAACTGCAAGGTTTTCATCGAGACTCACACAACTCCAGGCTGAACGGCCCTCGATGATTTAATAGTTTTTGGGTAATTGGTGGGTGTTCTAGTGTGGTTTGCTCTTTCTTCCCTATCAAATAAATTCCCTCCTTTTTCTGTGTATGTTACTTTCAGGCTACACTTTTTACCTTAATGTGTTGCAGGTGTCATAAAACCCGTACCTAAACTGATACTAAAACTAACATTATCATCATTGCTACCATTCTAAAATTAATATTAACTATTGTCATTTGCAGGGGCTCCAACTCATACGGAACATGCTAAGTGTGTGTGTGTGTGTGTGTGTGTGTGTGTGTGTGTGTGTGTGTGTGTGTGTGTGTGTGTGTGTGTGTGTGTGTGTGTGTGAATGTGTGTGTGTGTGAATGTGTGTGTGAATGTGTGTGCGAGTGTGTGTGTGTATGTGTGTGCAGATTACAATCTGGACCACGTTGAACCAGCAGCTACCAGTTTTCTTAGATGTACACAAGTTTCTCTCTTACAACATGTCGGACAAAGAAAATCACAACAGGTTTATCTACATACTCTAGAGCCAGTTATCTAGACCCTGGGAGAGATCACAACAAATTGACAGCGTTGGCTTTCCTAGGAGAAACACTATGTCCCCTCGAAAGAGGAAAGTTATGACTTCT